CTGAGATGCTGCTAAATGCCTTTTCCATCCAACTTCAACCTTTCCTTGTGTACCATGGAAGGAAACACAGTGTGGGCCTTCCCCACCCATTCCCCTTCATCCTCCCAGAGGCCACAGATTCCCACGGGCTCTGACCAGAATGAGGATGACCCGCATGCCAGCGGCCTTCATGCGATCGATCAGGGCGGGCAACCCAGAGAACTTGGGGCTGAGGGTGAAGTCCAGCTGCCGCTCCATGTAGTCGATGTCCGAGTACTGCACGTCCTGGGGGAGGACACAGGGGACTGAGTGATGGCTGGGGCCTCAAGGCCAGGTTCCCAGGAGAACGACTCTCCACCACCCGTGCTTCCTTCTGACTCAGCTCCCAGCTCTGTCATTTCTCAGTTATAGATACTGGTGAATAAACAATGTCGTTCAACTTTCACTCACAAAATATAAAGAAAAATATCTAAGTCAGGAGAAAAATAGGAAGATAAGACCTAGATGGTGGGTTTTAAGAAAATCAACAAAAACACTGGGTGAGAAAGTGCTTTGTAAACTGCTAACATAAGGAGTCAGTCTGGATTTCTCCACTATGAAGCTACCTTTGGCTTCGATGGTTCATGAAAACTGTTTCCTCCTCAGTCCTACTACCCAATAGACAGTAAGTCTATTAGAAAGCAAAGAAGCACTAGGGCTGGGAAGGTAGTCCAGTGGTAGAGTGCTTGCCTTGCATGCATGAGGCCCTGGGTTCGATTCCTCAGCACCACATAAACAAAAAGAAAAAAAGCCGGAAGTGGCGCTGTGGCTCATGTGGTTGAGCTCTAGCCTTGAGCCCAAAAGCTGGGGGACAGTGCCTAGGCCCAGAGTTCAGGCACCACGACCAGATCCAAAAATAAAAATAAAGAAGCACAAGCACATGTACTTCCTGTGGAAGGTGCTGACTCAGTAGTGAGCAGACACAGTTTTCTAATTACAAAATATATGTATAGGATGGTGTGTGCTATTTAGTTACTATTATCAGCAGCTGAATAAAAACTGGAAGGAAATAAAAATTAAATTGGGTAGGCGAGCAGATCTGATTATTGGTTGTTCTTGTGCTAAGTGGATAGAATTTGTCGTATCGCTGTGTGCTTGTCCTGAGACTCATCCCTAGCTCTTGTATGAAGTCAGTGAGTGCCTCAGAGTCCCATGCAGACCTTGCTGCCGTGCCCGCCAATGCTGACCTGAGCACCTACCTACACATACAGTGGGCTTGAGAATCTAGGGTCATGTAATTTTAATG